CCTGCGTGGTACTGATGCGTGGTGCCGATGCGTGGTGCCCTGCGTGGTACTGATGCGTGGTGCCCTGCGTGGTACTGATGCGTGGTGCCTGCGTGGTACTGATGCGTGGTGCCCTGCGTGGTGCCGTGTGGTACCGATGTGTGGTGCCCTGTGTGGTACCGATGCATCGTGCCCTGCCCTGCGTGGTACCAATGCGTGGTGCCCTGCGTGGTACCCACGCAAGGAAGGGGAAGGCAGGGCTTGCTAGTGCAGTCAGCCGAGCAGGTGGAAGACAGAGGCCGCGCCTGTCCCGGGCCACACCCGCCCTTGGTTCCCAGGGCAGCCCGCGTGTCCCAGGCTGTCCTGCGCAGCTCGTCTCGCCCCTGGGCGGCCTGGCGCCCACGCCCCGCGCGCTGATGCCCGCTCGCCCTGACCGCAGGTGTGGATCCAGCTGCTGTACAGCACCTGCTTCTGGTGGCTGTTTTGCTACGCGATGGACGCCTACCTGGTGATCCGGAGGTCCTCGGGACTGAGGTAGGCAGAGGAAGGGGCGGGCTCCCTGCCCTGGTCCCTGGTCCTGGGAAAGGCGTGCAGAGCAGTTCCAGCCGCCAGCCCGCCCCACTGAGCCAGCCTGGGACACGGCCACGGCCACGGCCGCAACCATGACCACGGATCTTAATCAGAGGCCATCGGCAGAGTCAGAATAGTGAGGATTTTAAAACCCTGACAGCGCATAATTCAGTACATTAAATATTTGGACAAATACCAAAAAGGAATTGGCTTGAACATAAAAAAATTTGATTGAATCTAAAGGTTAGAGGGAAAAGGTCTTCAAGGTCTGTATTGTCACTTTATGTTCAATACGGACCCCGAGAATGCTGGGGCCACAGGGGCTGCCTGGTGACAGGTGACCCGGTGGTCAGTGCCTGGGTGCCCGTGGGTTTGAGTCCTTGCCCAGCGACTGTTGGCACATTGCTCAACCTCTCCGGCCTTCAGTGTTCTCCGCTGTGAAACCATCCCCGCCTCAGAAGGCTCTGGAGGAATAAGGGTGACAGTGTGGGTAAGTGGCCAAGCACGATGCCTGGCATGTGGCAGGTCTCCATGGCTGTCAGCGGTGCCCACGAGCGATGAGACAGAAACGTAGACAACGTCAGTGACAGAGAAGCAGGGGGACGGGGCAGGGTGTGTGTCCCGGTCTCCTGGCTGCTGGCTACAGGTCTGTCCCTCACCAAGTTCAAGGTCCACTCCCATCAGGCCCCCTTGGATGGAGCCCTACTTGCTTTTTAAAAAAATAGCTTCATAAAGTCTGCCTGTTTACATGTATAAGATCCATTGTCTGAAATTTTTAGTGTTTTCACAGAGCGTGCACCAGCACCATCATCTAGTTTTATGACACTTTACACCCCCCCAAATCTCCATCCTAGTTAATAGTCATTCCCCATTCTCCCCTTTTCCCCAGAGCCCCGCCAACTACTAATCTTTCTGTCTCTAGATTTGCCTGTTCTGGACGTTTCCTATCAATGGAATCGTATAATATATGGCCTTTGGTGTCTGGCCTCTTAAACTCAGCATGACATTTCCAGGGTTTATCCACGTCATTGCATCTGTTGGTACTTCACTCCTGTTCCGTGCTGCGTAATATTCCACTGTCAGGACCAGGGCACTTTATCCATTTATCCGCTGCTGGGCATTTAAGATGTTTCACTTCTTTGGCTGTTAGGAATAATGCTGCCTTGGAGATCTGTATGCAAGTGAGGACATGTGTTTTTATCATATGCTCAGGGTGGAAGCTAGGAGTGCAATTCCGGGGTCACCAAGTAACTGGTATAACCTTGTCAGGTGCTGCTGAGCTGCTTTCCAAACAGGCCGCACGGTTTTCCTTTCCCGCCAGCAGCGAGCGATGGCTCCGGTTTCTCCACATCTGTGCCCACAGCACGTGCTCTTTTCTGTGTGTTCGTCTGCTTTAAGATGTTTAGCCATCCTAGTGTACGTGAAGTATCTCAGTGCGGTTTTGCTTTCCCTGCTGGCTCACGATGGTGAGCGTCTTCTCCTGCCCTTCCTGGCCACAGGTGCACCTTCTTTGGAAAAATGTCTGTTCAATCCCTTTGCCCATTTTTTATGGGGCTCTTGGTCTTTTTATTATTGCTCTGTAGGAGCTCTTTATATATTGTAGCTCCAAGGACCTCATTATACGCATGGTTTACAAATATTTTCTCCCGTTCAGGAGGTTGTCTTTCCACTTACTTGATGACATCTTTTGAGGCACAAACGTTTTTAATTTTGATGAATTCCATTTTTGGGGGGTGGTTCCTTGTGGTTGTGCTGTCATTTAAAAAACCATTGCCTAACCCACGGTCATTTATACCTGTTTTCTTCTAAGAGTTTTATGGTTTGAGCACTTTGAATGAGGCCTGTGATCCATTCTGAATGGACTTTTGTCTGCAGGTGAGGAAAGGCCCACCTTTATTCTTTCTTATGTAGATATCCAGCTGTCTGAGCACAATATGTCGAATGAATTCACTTTTAAAACCGAGTAATTGAGGACACCGTGAGGCTGCAGAACACACTGGGCGATCTTGGTAGATGCCTGCTCCAAAATTGATATGCTTTATGTCTATGACGTCATTAACTTTGGTCTCACGGGCCTGGAGCTTAATGCTTGTTTCACGTTTGTGCTTCTTACTTCCACCTTTTTACTTGATTTCCACGCTCGCAGGCATGTGCATAGAACCTACCTGTCTCTGACTGTGAAACTCTCTAGCGAAGATTGTTAGGGGCAAAGGTAGCCAACCAGGCGTGTCAGTGAGGATTAGTTTTGGTTCCACAAAATACATAATGACTCAAACGAGATAGGAATTTCCCTCTGATGCTAAAAGGGGCCTGAGGTCTGCAATCCAGGCCTCGCCATGGACATTGGTAGCCCAAGCTCCTCCTATCTTCCTGCTCCACCATCCTATTGTGTGACTTCCACCCTCAAGGTGTCACGGCCCGAGATAGCTGCTGACGCGCCAGCCGTCGCATCTGCATTCCAGGCAGCAGGAAGGGGAAAGGGAGCAATGCACCACCTGCCTCCCTCTCAGCAGCCTCCCTGGGAGCCTCACACAATCCCACTTTCACATTATTACTTTCACGGCCGCGCTGAGCTGCAAGGGGAGGCAAGAAATGTAGTCGGTCAGCCAAGCGCGCTGCAGCTCTGTGTGCCAGCCAGGTTATGTTACTAAGAGAAAAAGGGAGATCAGAGCTATGACTCATGTGGAGAGGTACAAACCGCCAGTATGGAGATAAGAGGAGCCTTTGAACACTGAAGGGAAGCTTGAGAAAGTGGTGCCGTATGCTTCATGGAGGGTGCACTGCTTCACACGCACCCTGGGGGGCTGGGGCGGGACAGGGCGGCCCGAGAGCTGTCTGCATCTGGGGATGGGCAGAGCCCGAGGAGCCCAGACTGGACACCCAGGAGAGTGCTAAGAACTCACCCAGGGCCTGGGTGTGGGCATGTGCCGGGCGTGGCTTCCAAGGGGGCCCACCCATGATGCGGGAGGCAGATGCCCGAGGATGCAAACCAGGGGGTCGTCTCCAAAGGGCAGTAGCAAGGGCGAGGTGAAGTTAACCTACAGGTGGCGAGGAAGAGACGGCAGCTGGCGAGGAGGGGCCCTGGGGAATCCCCGGGCAGTGGGCCAGGCTGCAAGCAGTGCCGGACGAAACCCCACATGCCCTTCTCGATCCTTCCAGGCCTTGGCTGCTTTCTTTGTTTTAAAACGGTTAGCTTTATGTTACGTGAATTCCACCTCAGTAAAAAAAAACAACCCAAAAAGC